TGATATTTATAATGGTCGTGTGGTAACTGCTCCTTAGCAGTTTTCAACAGTTGTGCCCATGTTCTTCCATTCCGAAAATCTTGTCTTCATGTTCATGTGATGCCATGATTCTGCTTTCAAGATAACTGTCTCAGGATCTTGTCCACAAGTGATAACTTCCTCATAATCATGATTCCAAGTAACTATTCTCGCATGTATGCTCCTTAGTGGTTTCCAACAGTTACGTTGAATCCACTACCTTGACGGTTTTCTTTTTATTCCACTACGTTGGCGGTTGCTTTGACTCCACTATGTTGACGGTTACTTCTTCTTTCTGCATCTCCAACCAGTCACAACCGTCGACTTCCTCTTAATGTCGAAAACTATACAGTGATTTTCTGAGTAAACTCAAAACATAAAAGTTGTAGATCCATGAGTCTTCGTTCTTTTGGCTTTGGAATCAGGTCAATCCGATCTGTCTCGAAGAAGTTATGACCATTTTCCCGAGCTAGCGCAGAACTGAAATTTCGTCGAAGTCCTCGACAAGATGAAGTCACGACCGTCGACTTCCTTTAACCTTGATGGCTTCTACAGTAATTTTCTGAGAAAACTTAAAACATAAAAGTTATAGATCCATGAGTCTTCGTTCTTTTGGATTTGGAATCAGGTCAATCCGATCTGTCTCGAAGAAGTTATGACCATTTTCCCGAACTAGCGCAGAACTGCAATTTCGTCGAAGTATCGACAAGATGTCGAAGTCCTCGACAAGATGAAGTCACGACCGTCGACTTCCTTTAACCTCGATGGATTCTACAGTGATTTTCTGAGAAAACTCAAAACATAAAAGTTGTAAATCCATGAGTCTTCATTCTTTTGGCTTTGGAATCAGGTCAATCCGATCTGTCTCGAAGAAGTTATGACCATTTTCCCGAACTAGCGCAAAACTGCAATTTCGTCGAAGTATCGACAAGATGTCGAAGTCCTCGACAAGATGAAGTCACGACCGTCGACTTCCTTTAACCTTGATGGCTTCTACAGTGATTTTCTGAGAAAACTCAAAACATAAAAGTTGTAGATCCATGAGTCTTCATTCTTTTGGCTTTGGAATCAGGTCAATCCGATCTGTCTTGAAGAAGTTATGACCATTTTCCCGAGCTAGCGTAGAACTGAAATTTCCTTGATGAAGTCGTGACCAGTCTTGTCAATAATACCCAAAAATTGATCATTTTTGGGTGTAAATATATACACATGACACATGTCTCTTACATGTGTCATTTATGTTAGCAACTTGATGATATTTGCTTCCACGTTACCTCAAGTCTCCGTCATGTGTCCCTTGATGATCTTTGGCACAAACTAACCATGTCGATAAGTTGGCTATTTTTTGGTGTAAACAAGAATAGAACACGAAGCAAACATAAACCGACTCACAATATGAACCGCAAAAGCAATGTCGGACAGATAATAATGATAAATACAAAACGACCTACTAACTGTTGATGGAGTGTAGCGTCTCAAAACGAGGTGCCATGAAAAAGGTCCACGTTGGCATTTAGGTTCAAGTGGAGTAGAAGTTTCTATATCGTCCTACTCGAGAGGTAAGATCTAAGGCATATTTGGCTTGAGTGAAATACTAATCATTTGAGCTAGAGGAAATTTCGATGCTCGAAAGCAAGCCCAAATCTTTCGTCTCAAAATGATAACAAGATATTGATTGGATCTATCATTTCCTCGACGTCATTTCTTGTAATGATATCATCCACATAAAGTAGAAGCAACGGAATACCTTTGATCGTTATGAAGAGTAAATAATGCTTGATCATGAGCGTCAGATTGAAATCCATATCGCTCAACAATAGTGCCGCGTGGTGCCCATGCCAATCTATTAAGGCTGCGCATGACAACGATTCTGTGCCCGAGAACAGATTCTGCTCAGAAATGATTCTTTTTGATTCTGTGCCCGGAATTGATTCTGAGCATTTTAAGGCGTTTGGTAACGGCCCAAAATTCCATCCCTGGAATAGAAAAAGAACAGAAATGCGTTTGGTAACGCCACAAAATTTCTTTTTATTAATAATATTTTTAAATACTTTAATATTTCTTTCTTTTTTTCTTTTCCTCCTCCTTAGCCATGGCCTGCTCGCCGGCCTTGACCGATAAAATATTTTTTTATTAATAATATTTTTATTAAAAGTATTATTTTTTTTTTGGCCATGGCCTGGTCGCCGGCCATGACCGGTAAAATATTTTTTTTATTAAAAATATATATTTTTATTTTTTTTGGCCATGGCCTGGTTGCCGGCTATGGCTGGTAAAATATTTTTTTATTAAAAATAAACATTTTTATTTTTTTGGGCCATGGCCGGTAAAATATTTTTTTTATTAATAATATTTTTATTAAAAATATATATATTTTTATTTTTTTTGGCCGTGGCCTGGTCGCCGGCCATGGCTGGTAAAATATTTTTTTTATTAAAATATTTTTATTAAAAATATATTTTTTTCTTTTTTTTTGCCATGGCCTGATCGCCGGCCATGGCCTGTAAAATATTTTTTTATTAATAATATTTTTTATTAAAATATTTTTATTAAAAATATATATATATTTTTTGCCATGACCTGGTCGTTGGCCATGGCCGGTAAAATATTTTTTTTATTAAAAATATATATTTTTTCTTTTTTTGCCATGGCCTGGTCACCGGTCATGGCAGGTAAAATATTTTTTTTATTAATAATTTTTTTTATTAAAATATTTTTATTAAAAATATATATTTTTTTCTTTTTTTGCCATGGCCAGTAAAATATTTTTTATTTTAATAATATTTTTTATTAAAATATTTTATTCTCGTCAGATCCGGCGAGGGCGGTCCTCGGGTCGGACATTAGAAGCTACATTAAAAATCAAGAAAAGGAAGAAGAAAAATAAATTGATTCTCAAAATTGTTCCCAAAATCAAGAAGCTACTTTTTTTTTTATTCTTGAAAACTGATTCTGGGAACAATTTTTGACAAAATTGTGCCCAGAATCAAAAAATTAAACAAACGCATTTCTGTTCCCAAACTGATTCTGGGAACAAAAGAACAGAATCAAATACTATTTGGCAAATTGTCATGCGTAGCCTAAAGGACCTTTGGATATGAAGACTCCCAAGAGGACAATCATAGCAAAGAGGAGGTTGCATATGCAGTTCCTCGGTAAGATCACCGTTCAAGGATGCATTTTTGACATTAATCTGAGATAAATTTCATTGTCATGTTAATACAACCCGTGCTTTGTAAAATAGACAAATCAGAGTTTGTTTTGATCTTGTAGACCAATCTGTGGCGTATAGCAGACACAACGAGGGGAACAACTAATGACTTTGCACGAACTCCAAAGCCAATAGTTTTGGCTCTTATAACAATGTGTTACAATTAAGTTTGTTTATACTCAAATAATATGTACAAAGGTAAGCAAGTAACCTAACAAGAAAACTAACTAGCCTTAGAAATAGCAAAAATTACAGAATCAATTACAATATGATACAATCCGACAAAAAGCTTGGAATATTCTGACAGTATTCTAACATTCAGAAACTTTGCCGACTTTGGTGATTAAAGTTAATTATCTTGTACCTTTGAAACATTAGCCTTGAGAACCCATTCCTCCATGGTTGAACGTGTCGAGGTCTTGCAATCACTGCGCATAACAGAGTGTTCGTTCATGTGTACACGTGCAAAACATCATGAATATGAATAAAAAACACCAAAAAGAAAGCTGGCAAAGACCAAAAAGCAAACTAAGACTTTCTTCCAGCGCAGAGAATACAGAGAGGCTGGAGAGGAGAGGAGAGGAGAGGATCGTTTCAAATCCATCCTTTTCTCGTTCACATATCAAAACAATTTTGACAAAAAATTGTGGAGACTCCTTCAACATCTTCTCGCCATTCGAGGACAGGCCTGAGCTTGACCTTTTTGAACATGTCCCCCCCAATTTAAATTTCTGATCTGGCCCCCCAAAAATAAATAGTTTTTTTATAATTTGCGAGGCTGATAGAAAATGACGTTCTAAGCGTCCAACAAACCAAAAGCAGCTTATCTTTACAGACTGTATAATAAAATATGTATTTAGATATGGAGTGTTTTGGAGATTATCTTGGACCATGCACACTCATCTTCTACTGTCGCCTGGTCGACCTCCATTATAGGGTTCATCTTGATTTGCAGTGAAATGTCATTCTAGGGTTTCCATCCTCACCTTGAAGGTCAAGGGTCTTTTGGTCGATACATCTTTCCCGATTGAGCCTTGTGACCGGTGAAAACCTGACGCGTGACTGTTGATTGTCACTTCGATGCCCCCCGGAATAGCAACGGCCTATTCACTGAGCGAGCAGTTCTCGGTTCTCACCCACGCAGGCCTATCGTTAAGCAAAAAGAGAGACCCGACCTCGTAACGTCTCATCGTTTTTGAGCTCGTGTTACGTGAATCTTGGATGATCGCATGTTTCGTACCGCAGGAAAAATCTTACATATCTTCGTTCCATGCATTACCTACATAATCATAGTAATTTTCCATGTAGAATCAACGCCATTAATGACATCATCGTGTTGATCTCCGTTAATCGAGTCCATACAAACCCTTTTGGTTATTATCTGTTGTCGTTGATGTACGCCCGTAGCTCGATGAGGACATCCAAAGTTGCATGTACCGGTCGGTCTGGAGTCCGATTTTAATAAGTTCAATGTATACCCAAGTAACTATCTTATTGTTGGTATGATTCGTTGCATCGTCATCCATATACTAAATAATAACAAAATTCACAGTATTCTGTCCTCCAGACCGGCTGAGAAATTCCACGTAACTTTCACCATTTTTTATCTAGGATTTGGTCAGGGCTTCAAGCGCGCGTGGGGTCCTATTATTTTCTGTTCTTTTTTCATTGTAACGAGCGAGATATGGCCGGCCTTTACATCTTCTGTCTCTATATATGTATGAAGTTTCGATAATCTCCAGCTCAAACACAAGCGTAAATCCGTCAACCCAATCGCTTCACCTTCACCTTCACCTTCACCTTCACCTTCACCTTCGCTTTCGTTCTCTCCGCAACAACCTTTATGGCCAAGCGCTTCAAGCTCAGACTCTCCCGCGTCCTCCAAATCTGTCGCTCCGAACACCCCCCGGCTTACCCGCAGCACCCGTCGAGGGCGGCGGCTCACTGGCTGTTCCCCGCCAACCCCAAGCCCCTCGACGTCAGCTTCACCAGCTTGCCCGCCCCGCCTCCGTCGACCCCCGACGACTCCTTCATCGCCCGCCACGTCGCCTCAGTCCGCTGCACGTCCTGCGCCGGCGCCGACTCTCCGTCCGAGTACACGTGGGAGAAGGACGGACGTTGGCACGTGGTCTCGAGACGGAGCCGGAGCCAGAGCCAGAGCCATCCCAGGCCTCGTCGGAAGATATGCGGAGGTTCGAGATTCGACGAGGGCGACGTGGAGACGACGTCGCCGGTCCTGGTGAGGCAGGGCGACCGTAGGATGAAGCAGAAGAAGAGCCAGGGCCAGGCTAAAGGCAGAACGACGGCGTCGGTCGTCGGGAGGAGCGTCACATCCAGCGACAGCGGGTTGTTCAGCTGGGAGAGCGGCAGCGAAAACAACGGGGACGAGGAGGACGAGACTGACGCATTGCTGTCGACTTCCATAAGCTTTTCGAACGACACTTTACCCGAATACTACCGCACCACCACGAGATACCCACCGGACAATCAGGCGACGAAGGAAAAGCAAAAATCCCCTCAAGACGAGGACAACGACACCGACGAGAACAGAATCAAGAGGCTGAGGCGCTACACCAGCAGGGGCCGAGAGGAGGCGGCGGACGCGGCGGGGGAGAAGAGGAGCGGCGTGGTGATGGGGGAGAGCGTGGCGGTGGTGAAGAGATCGGAGAATCCGCTGGAGGACTTCAAGAGGTCGATGGCGGAGATGATAGCGGAGAAGCGGATGTTCGGGGCCGGGGACCTGGAGCAGCTCCTGCAATGCTTCCTGTCGCTCAACTCGCGGCAGTACCACGGGGTCATCGTGGAGGCGTTCGCCGAGATATGGCAGGTCTTGTTCTTCGATTCACGCGCCGACACCGAACGGCGTCGGTCCGGCTCCTCGTCGACCTCGGCTGTGGTTGAACGTTGTTAAAGAAGAAGAAGAAGGTCGAGAGCCTCTTCTTCTCTTCCTTGGGGATTAATTTAATATCAATACTTTGGATATTTTCCTAGACTATAGAATACCGATTGCTTTTTCATTGGTGGAAGAATTTATATGATGGTGCTTGTTGTAAATTTGAAGCAATAAAACACCTCCTCTTTCTTTTTCTCGGCATAGACTGTCACCTGAGATATGCTTCGCTTAAGTTTTGGGCGATCGATTTGTAATCAAATACCTTTAACTTAGTTAATTGATGCAATTCGCTTCTTCCATCTGTGATTAGTAATTTAATCGATTTTTGCGGACGTTGCTTAATTAACGTGGCAAAAGAATGAGGTGGAGTGCCACGTCTACAACAATAATAATTGTTATTCTATTTTCAAAAAAGGAAGGGCTTCATTCCCTAAAAAAATCCAGCTTTAGGTCTAACCCTAACTCTGCCCCTAAATTTTTTGTCTAAGAAAAATCACAAATTCCCACTATAATCCCAAATTTACCCTGCATTCAAAATTCGAGATTGATTTCTTCAAAATTATCAATATTAGGGCCAATTAGAAGTCTATTTTTAGAATCTGCGTCTTTACCAACACCCTCGCCTTTATATAGAACAACAGCAGCCTCTTGTGGTAAAATTTGGAAGCCGGGCAGATTTAAGATAATAGTGAAAGTTGGTGATTTTTTAGATAAAAAAAGTTTGGGACATAATTTAGATTGAACTTGAAATTGAGGGTCTTTTAAGAGAATTAGACGAAAAAAAAAACAGAGACCTTTTCACCCTCCATGACAATTGGCTCTTGACATGAGCAAGGGCATTCAAGGGTTTAGTTAGTTCTGAGATTCTAGGGATGTTCAATATTCGAATTTGATTACCCTCGGGTTGGTGTTATCTATACTGAAGAAAGGAGATCACCTACAAGTTTTATCTTATTATCGGTATGAAGCGTTCTCATTTGGCTGTCATATTCTTTTTCCTTTCACTACAAAAAAACCGCCGTTTTGCAACGAATTTTCCAACGAAAATTTTTGCAAAATTCGTTGGAAAACGAATTTCCAACGAAATTAACGACGAACAAAAATTCGTTGGTAATTCGTCGTCGCAAATTTTTCCGACGAAAAATTTAAATTTTCGTTGGTAATTTCCGACGAAATTTTTCTGTCGCAAAATTCGTTGGAAAGTTCGTTGGAAATGTCGTCGCTAATTATTCGTTGCAAAAATCGTGGCAAAATTCGTCGGTAATTTTTCGTGGTAAAATTCGTGGCAAACGAATTTCCGACGAAATTAGCGACAAACAAAAATTCGTCGCTAATTCGACGTCGGAAATTTTTTGCGACAAAAAATTTTATTTTTTCGTTGGTAATTTCCGACAAAACAAGGTCGTTGCAAAATTTGTGGGAAATTTCCCACGAATTTTGGGATGGAATTCAGCATAGGCTTTTTTTCAATTTCGTGGCAAAATTCGTGGGAAGAAATTGAAAAACCAGGTATTTTGCCACGAACAAAAAAATTCGTCGGAAATTTTTGCGTAAATTTTTGCGACGAAAATCTGAATATTCGTTGCTAATTTGCGACGAAAATTAATTCGTGGCTAATTATTCGTTGCAAATTTCGTGGCTATGGAAAATTCGTTGGAAAATTTTGTCGCAAACTATTCGTTGGAAAATTCGTGGAAAATTTCCCACGAATTTTCCAACGAAATTCAAATATTTTTTCAATTTCGTTGGAAAATTCGTGGGAATTTGAAAAAAGCCGAAAATTTGAATTTCGTTGGAAAATTCATGGGAAATTTCCCACGAATTTTCCAACGAATATCAAATATTTTTTCAATTTCGTTGGAAAATTCGTGGGAAATTTCCCACGAATTTTCCTTTACTACGAATTTTCCAACGAATATCAAATATTTTTTCAATTTCGTTGGAAAATTCGTGGGAAATTTCCCACGAATTTTCCAACGAAATTGAAAAAAAGCTGAGTTTCATTGGAAAATTCGTGGGAAATTACCCACGAATTTTCCAACGAAATTGAAAAAGTATTTGATATTTGTTGGAAAATTCGTGGGAAGTTTCCCATGAATTTTCCCACTAATTTGAAAAATCCGGTATTTTTTCGCAAAATTTTGCAACGAAAATTAATTTGTTGCTAATTATTCGTTGCAAAATTCGTGACTAAATTAGTTGCAAAATTCGTTGGAAAATTTGGCGCAAAATATTCGTTGCAAATATCGTGGGAAATCGCAAATTTTGCCGCAAAAAAATTTCAATTTTCGTTGGTAAATTGCGACGAAAACAAATTCGTGGGAAAATTTCGTTGCAAAATTTGTCGCTAATTATTCGTAACAAAAATCGTGGAAAATCGCTAATTTTTCCGACCAAAAATTTCAATTGCGACGAAATCTATTCGTGGGGTCGCTAAATTACGACGAAATCTATTCGTGACAAAATTCGTCGCTAAGTTTGCGACGAATTTTGTTTAGGGACAATTTCGATTTTAAATCTAATTAGCAACAATATTAATTTCTACAATGTATAAGTTGCAAAATCTCACATGATGGTATTCGATAATCAATCTTATAGTACATAGAGGTAGCTAAGCACTAATGAACATCATGTAATACATGCAAAACATTGAAAGGACGCGAAACAACCATAAAACGTTGGCAGCTTTGGTACTTGGCAGGACATAAGGAACAGTCACCTTTATCGACACCTGATGAAATATGGATACATAAATAAAGATATCGAATTTGTCCATAATATAAAAAAAAGCATTTATGCATGGACGTGGATCTAGCTATAAAAAAAATAAGTAGGAGGATTTTTAAAAAACGTTCAAGGACCAATGTTCTTACATTTAAATATAAGTCAACTTTGACATCCATTAGAAAACATATGAAACGAGCAGTAACGTAATAATTCTAACTCCTAAAGTCGAGAGACGAGGACGTCACCTGAAGCTCGTCGGCAAACTGACGAGGCAACTCGCCGCAAGGGGACGACAACAACGACTAGTTGGCCCCGAAGAGAATGAACTAGGAAGGACTGACAATAAAATCATCAGTATCATCATCACCATCATCACCAATCGCCGCATCATTGTGTGGCTCATCATTATGCCCACCACCTATTACATTAATAGGAGGTATAGGAGGAACCTCATTGCGATAGATGTCGAGGTGTCGCATGATAAGTTGCATTTGTTGTTGCATCACTCTCATTTCTTTGTCCTTCTGTCCAAGTAAATGCTTCATTTCTTCGTCCTTCTGTACAAGCAACTGTTTCAGTTGGTTCAATTCTTGGGTCATTTCTTCCTCATGTCGTGTCCTCCTTGAAACAGCCGCATTGGAGGATGAAGACGCAGCAGCCTTCGTTTTGTACATCCTTGACAAGGATCCCATCCCAAATATTTTTCCTCTTTTCATCCCACCCGCTGCCTCTAACCATAATGCCATACTGTCAACCGATGGCTCAGACACAACAACACCATCACCACCACCACCATCATCACCACCACCATCACCACTAGCAGCGCTAATTAACAGTTCATCATATTTTTCCTATATTAACAATATATATAGAAATAATATAAATTCATATATATTACCATAAATATTAAAAACATTCATGATTTTCATTCTAGTTTCCATAAAGTCCAAACTATAACCTTATATACCTTAATAGATTTTGCTCGATCGCCAGTCCATGTCTTATCCTTTTTCTGAAATGTGCGTTCAAATGTAGTTGTAAATGTGGGTTCCGTCCCCAATTTATCTGCCTACAAAAATTAAAATTAAATGAGTAATCATTGAATTAAATGAACTGACAAGTTTAAACAGAATTACCATTCTTCTTTTATGCTCGCCGATGCTGATAGAGCCCCCAGCATATGTGGCAGACGCAGACCCGTCACTAGAACTAGAAGCTCGATTCTTCTTGTTCTGTTCACACCTTTGCTTATGCTTCTCATTTTCCCAAGTTCTCGTAATTTCCGTCCAATTGTCAGCTGTAATGAAATCCGGCTTTTGTTTTGTTTTCTTCGCTCTATTTATCACATATCGCATGTGATCACCAACTTTCTTCTTAAAATTCTTTTAACCTCATCCTCTTCCATTTCATCCCACGTGAACTTACGCTACAATCAATAGAAAAGCAACTGAAAGTTATTATGAGGGTTACATGTGACATATCCATTATAATGCACCAGACAATTCGTGACAAAATTCATTATTGACCATCAGTATGCTACACCGACCTTAGTATGTGAGAAAATAGAAGGACAACACTAACCTTGAACTCATTCCACCAAAAAGTCTTTACTTCTTTAGTAGCGCTGCTGAAAGTAGTAAACTGCCCGATCCAACAGTTATTGACTATTTTATTAAGTTCCCTCACAACATGCGTAGAATCCGTGAATCTGAAAACATGTTATAACAATATAGACAATAAGGCAATGAAGCATACGGAAAATTCGCAACATAGACAATTTTGTTTACATCCATAATTTACATATACGTAAAAAAATGAAGTACTTACGAATCTCCACATGGGCATATAATGAATTGGCTATCTTCTTCTTCATTCGAGTGTTGCACAGAAGAAGAATGTGGAACCGAAGGAGATGGAACTGAAGTAAATTCAGTTCGCATGTCCCCAAGTTCTCCCCTAATATGCTGTTAAGGGTCCGAGGATGGGCCAATGTGTCCGTGTTGTCCATAAACATGTGGTGGTTGAGGATTGGATGAAAGGGCAGGGGAAGTGGAGAGGGACGGGGACGAGGCCGAGGAAGCGGAAGAGGCTGGTCTTCTTTGTGAACCCGCACCACGCATGTGACCTTCACGTTTATACTGACAAGTAAAAATGTTAGACAAATATATTAAAAAATATGAACATGTATTAGGGTTGCTTACCATTTTGTTTCAGAGAGCAAGAAATAAACTTGAGAAAATGAAACAAACAGACTATCGTCTCTGATAAATAGCAATCTCTGGCTCTCGTCAGAAGAACCTAGTGAAATTTTAACCACATCAGATTCCACTAAAAATATAAGGAAGCACAGTAAATGTGCAAAACGAATTACAACAAATATCAAAACGACCCCCTCGCCGGAATCGCGCCGGCAACCCCCCCGTCGGAATCGCGCCGGCGACCCCCCACCCCCGCCTGAATCGCGGCCG